AAAGAAAGAAAGAAAGAAAGAAAGAAAGAAAGAAAGAAAGAAAGAAAGAAAGAAAGAAAGAAAAGGCAATCTCCCTTGGTGAAATCCACCAGCCCTGGGGTAGATGGGAGGAGTGGAGAAGCAGTCCCACTGGCTGCCCTGATACTAACCCGGAGACACTAGATCAGTGGCTTGGATTTCTATAGCAAGCAAGGCAGAAATGGACCACCCCAAGGTAATACCGGGCAGAGATTAGAGCCAAAACTTAAATCTCTTTTCCCTATCCAATCTTATCTTCACTGCTTACTGCCATCCACCCCTGAAAACATACCAATGAAAGACAGTTTTTCCATTTCCCCATGGTCTCTCAGCTATGCTGCAGTTTTCTGAACCTATGTTTCCCTCTGTAGTTTCTCCAGAGTTGGTTTTGTGCAAGAGAATCAACAGCTTGTGCTATCTTTTTTTTTTTTCTTGAGAGGTTTTCGCTATAGGGCGCATGTGCTCACCAGACAGACAGAGACATAGAACAGAAAGTGAGAAATCACCCCCCAGGGGGGATGGTCACACCGCCATCCCTTCTCCTCCATTCTCTCGGGATCTTGGGCACACACGCACACGCGCCCGGCATGAGTTTTAAGCCACCAGGTCCGGGATGCGAACCGTGGTCGACTACGTGGGAGTCCAGCGACATAGCCATTACGCTAACTGCTGGTTCCCAGCTTGTGCTATCTTATCAGGAACCAGAAGCCCCAAGTATCTCAGCAGAATAATAGAAGTTTCTGCCCTTCAGGGTATCTGAGAAAGGACTCTTGGTCTTCAGAGATCCCAAGGTGCCATATACCGAATGGACTTGTCTGGCCCTTCAAATACCTGAGCTCATTAATCACAGAACGTACTGCATGGGGTGTCAGCTGGTTACTGACAAAAGGAACATTTCAGGTCCTCAGAGGGTCAGACACCCCCATATCTTAGATGGCTCTTGTGGGAGTCTGAACCCCTTATCCACAGGAGGTACTTGTGAGGCTCACAGTGTCTGAGCATCCTAGACAGAGTGGTGTGGTCCTGCTCTTCAAGAAATGAGCCCTCTACTGAGGAATGGTCAGCTTCCCCTCTAGTAATGAGGGATGATGGGAGCTTCTTACAGACCACCCTGAGTTTTTTATGACATTCATTTGGGACACAGACATGAGGATGGCTGTCCTGATGCTCCTTCATCCCTGGCAGCATTGCCTAGTGCAACAACTTCTGCCCAAAACCTGGCATGGCTAGGCCATGACCTGAGGACTCTGTTCCTCACCCATTGTCTGCTATGTCCTTTGTAGAGGAGAGACTCCCACCTTTTGAGAAGGTCAGTAGTACAAAGGGCCTTCTTTTGATCCTATCCTCTAAATAATCAGGCGACTTCTTTTAGAGTCTGAGCTTTATGAGTGCTTTGCTTATTTAAAACAGTTTCTATTGATGAAATAGTTAATACAGGTACCCATGAGCTAGAAACCAAGTTTAGGGCCCTCGGTGTGGCAAGACCACAGTCCTTCAAGCAGGGTTCAAAGCAAGTGACAAGAACGGAGTCTTAGACTCCTGCCCAAGGCTGCCCAGCATTAGTTCCTAAGACTTACACAGAGGATCTAGGCCCAGCCTCAGTGGTGCAGGTGGTAGTATACTAAACTGCAGTGCTGGAAGCCACATGGCTGATCACAGGTTCGCATCCAAAGTTGATCTGAAAGACGTTGGGTTGTCCCCACACCCAAGATCCTGATTAGCTGGAAGGCTCGGGGGAACTCTGCTGAGGCTCCAGCCTGCCTGTCTGTCTTTATCTCTTGCTCATTATCACTCATGAAAGAAATAAGATACACTCGAGAAATGGTGACATGTGGAATGCTGGGGTGGCTGGCCCAATGTTTCTAAGCAGCCCACACTTCCCAATCTTTGTAACAAATCTTGCCCTTTTTCAAGCCAGGAATTCTCATTCTCATTTCTCATTGAGAGGCCCATCTTGCCAACATATAGTCACAAAATAATACAGAGCCTTGTAGGTAGACGATGTACAAAAAAACAGACTCAGGCCTTCCTCAATTAGTCCCTGACCTGGGCTTGCCTTAGAATCAATTTTCAGTCTGCACTCTTTCTGCCTTCCTGGAGGGCAGGAACCACCCTCCACTGAGTACAGTGTTTTGTCTCCATTAGGTAAAGAGCCCCTGGGGACTCCATCTACAGTAAACTCCAGGGAACGAGCAGACAAATACTCAGACCACACAGTGACCTTCATGTGTGCAAAGTATAGTTGTTAAAAACAGAAATGAGGCCATGGCCTCCAGGGGGCAGTGCCAAAGCAGAGCCCCACACACTCAGACCTGGGGAAAAAGGGCCTCACATTCCAACAGGTCTAGGACCAGCAAGCAAGGAGGTGAGTTCTCAGATGTAGGCCCTCATGGCAAAGATCTGGTGGGGCTGATGGTGAGTGGGAAAGCCCGATCAAGATGGGGCTGTGGCCTCAGCCCCCTCCTCCGAGTCCCACACCTCTGACTGCAGGTAATCAGCGAAAAGGGCCTTGGCACGGCGGAGGACACGCCCCAGGTGGTGTTTGCGCACAAGGCGGTCAAAGTGCATGGCCAGCTCATTGTAATCTAGCCCGTTGCGCATGATGTGGTCACGATGCTCCAACAGGATGGCCAGGCAGAGGAAGAGCATGAACGGATTGCCTCGGCCAAACTCCTGGGGTGGGGGCAGGCCAGTTGGCAGTGGAGGTGGCAGGGACTTCCCAGAGTCTTGTGGGGAGCCTACCTCTTGCATCAAGGGGGATCCCACAGCCATGTCGCCAGTGGGAGAGGCCTCCTGGGTGGATGGTGGAGATGAGGAAGATGGGGAATCAGGGCGAGAAGAGGAGGAGAGCAATGGATCTGGGGAGTTCAGCAAGGGCTCAGAGAGGGACTTGGAGCTGATGAGGGCAGCGGGGTGGGATAGCTGGATCAGAGCGTCCCTCCTGGGGCCCATGTTCTCCCTGAGTTGCTGGAGGCCATCCAGGCTGGCTTGTCTCAGGAGACGCCCACCACCACCAGGCCCTTGGCTGGCCGTGGCCAAGTCAGCATCTTCAAAGGCACTGCTTCCTTCACCAGCAGGTCGCAGCATGTGCCTCTGTCGCACAGGCCGCCCTCTGTGGCCACTGAAGCCAGCATCTGCTACTTGACTGGGAGGTCCGACAAGCTCCACCTCATGTTCAGGAGGGTCAGGGGGCAGGGAACTCCAGGTGACCTCCAGCATACGGAGGGCATCATCAAAGGCAAACTCGCGCTTAAGCTCCAGCAGCAGCCAGCGGTAACAGAAGAAGAGGTCATCGGCACCTGCGTCTTGGAGGTACTGGTAGAAGTCGGGGTCAGCATGTCGCAGCAGCAGCTTGAGGTGGGCAAACTTGGTGGCCATGGCACGGCCATCAGGATGGAAGTTGGCAGCCAGTCGCTTCATGATACCACAAAAGCAGACGAAGGCATGGCCCTCATGGTCCATGACAGCAAGGATAGGTGAGGCAAGGTCACTCATGCCCTGGCAATAGGACACCTGTGGGTGGGTAACGGCATACGTGGTAAGCAGGTCATGTAAAGCCCGCAAGTGTGGGCCGTCCTCAGGCCCAGCATAGTAGGGGTGGGCCCGGTCAGTGCGCAGCACATCCTTGAGGACTGTGCTGCGGATGAACTCTAGGTCCTCAGGGCTTGCTCGCTGGGCCCACTCACTCTTGAGCTGCTCATACTCGCGACTCTTGCGTTTCATGTAGTCCATCCGCTCGCGACCCGTCAGGCCATCTGGATACACATTCAACAGGTACCGCCATACCACCTGCCAGGGATGAAAGGGAAGTGGTGGAGGTTCCACAGCTGAGCCACCATACCCAAATCTGTTAGTCACCCCTTCACTCACCTTGGGCCTTCATCTTCCTTCCTGCAAGTCTGTCTGTCCCATCTCTGACTCCTAGCCCCTCTGGAAAGAGAGCTTTCTGCCCTGGAACACCTCTACCCCACCCATGATAGTGTGGTTAACTGCAGGAGTCTCATGAGCTATTTTTTCTAAGTTTATTTCTTTCTTCCATGAACCAGAGAGAGAGACAAGGAGAGAGACAGAAAGACAACACCCCCAGGGTCTTGACCCTGTGACCTAACCCCCGCATCAGCCAGCCCTGGATCATGGGCACACATGTGCCCCATGTACTCAGAGAGGTCTCTAGATGCAAACCCAGAACTTTCCCATGTGGGGCAGTGTCATAGAGTGTCATGTTTCACTACTGCACCACTGTCTAGCCCCTCTTATGAGCTATTAATGAGCATGGGAGTGACAGATTCGACAAGTTACTGAAGTTTACCTTTCGCAGTGAGGGTTCCACACCACCGTGATAGATCCGTAGGCGCAACTCCTCAGGGCGAGAGAGCTGGCCCTCATGGTTCAGGTATGTGTGAAACTCAGCATCGCTCAGGGGTGGCTTGAAGGGCTTGACATCTTCCCCATATGACCAGCTCAGCACCTGCTGGACCTTAGACAAGGTACGGCCCACCTGTGAAGGGAGGGAGGCCACTGGTCAGCCAGGCAGGCAAGAGGCACATGCTGACAGCATGCTCAGGTAGGCCCTGCCCCCCAACCACAGCTGGGTCCCTGGGGTCCCTGAAGACACCTGAGAGAGGATGGACTGTGTAAAGGGCAGGGCAGCTGTCGTCAGCGATGACCGTTTCTCAACCAGCAGCACATCGGAGCCAATAACATCCTTGGGGCTGATTATGTCCCAGTCTTCCAGCAATGGGCCTGGGCACACAGAGTGAAGTGTGATGAGAATGGGGATGAGGACTCAGATCTTAGGGCTGGCTTCCTCTCCTGC